AAATAGGAGTGAGGTGGAGCGCACTTGAAAAATCAATAGCGAAAATCAATCATTATGTTATTGCGCCCTTTTCACCTATGTTTTCATTCAGTAGGTGACTCTTCGATGTCTTTCTCGTCGCTTTTTTTATTTTTCTTGTTTTTAGAATGTTTCCAAGTTGCCGCGGCACAGATGTGCTCTATTGATGTGGAGTTTTTGGTTTCGAAAAATTCATACTTTCAAAAAAATATTTTTTTTCCAAATTTCACTTGAAAGTTGGTTATTTTGAAACTCGCTGAAAGCTAGCTAAACTTTTCCCGCCTTTTTTCAAACTTCAGAGAATAAAACAACTCTAGCACTTTATTTTTGTTGTAAACATTGAAAAATGCGACTTTAGAGTGGATGGTCATAACAAACGTCTTCAAAGTAACATATCTCATTAGAGTGCAAATAAAATTTGATAGTGTAAAGGAAGCTCTAGTTGTTTTCAGTATATATTCAAACTTTTGAAAAAATTGAACATTTTCAAGTAGTTTTTAAACAGTTCCGAAATTGCCCATTTTTTACTGAAATTGGCGGCAAAAGGATTTTTTTTCAAAATTGAAGATATCTGTTTTGGCAAAAATAAAATAAGTTTCTGAGATTTTTAAATAGTTTTGTACACATTTCGACATATCACAATTTTCTGTTCTCCTCGTTTTTCTGCAAATCAATTCCTTTGAATTTCTCGCCAAACACACTAGCCCTGATGTCGGTCGTAAGATGATTTACAACGAAGAGAATTCTGCAGTAGTCATGGTTTTTCAATAAGTGGTCATAAAAGACGTTCCGGCTCTCTCCAGTTATCATATAAGGACCCTATTTAATTCACCTCCCTCATTTTTCCCTGTCGCTGTCTCTTTCTCATTGCACACCCATTCTTCAGAATCATCAGTAAATTGCATTCTTTGTGAGGTGTAGGGGTCACTTCTCTGTGTTTTCCCTCACTCTCTACACTATTTTTTTTCGCACACTTTATCCTTTCACTCTCCTTTTCTTCCTATTTTCAAAAAAAATTGATTTACACTGACCTATAAAAGTTTTTAAAAAACGGTGCTCGATTTTTGAAAATCTTAGAAAATTCACAATTTTTAAATGTATTTATTTTCAATGAAAAACTCACATGCAAGATTTTCCTGCAATTTCAATCACAATTTTTGACAAAAATTAAAATTTTCGATATTTCCTTCGTCTTTTTAGCGAAATTAGGGGCCTTCCCGTTTTTTGGGCAGAAAAATACGTTTTAGACGAACTTAAGGCGAAGCCAGTCAGCTTTTGTTCTTGCTTTTGCCACTTTTTGAGCGCTGTTTGGGCACCTTCTGGAAAAATCCCTAGCGGAATCAGGCCAACCATCGCCCAAAAGACGACAGTCGCAGCTGAAAATTGTTGCCTTTTTTCCCTATTTTTCACGCCTGTAGGATTGTCATCCTGTATTTTTTTCACTTGTTAAATCTTTAAAGTCTGAAGTATTCATTACTTGAATTTTCTGCCGCATCTAATGGAAACGCGCTCTGTTGCGACTGCGCTAAAAACGAGCGGGCTGTGATATTGCTTTTTGTACCCTAAAATTACCATTCCTGACTGAACATCATGTTGGGAGACTTCTCCCTGCGCTCGATTACTAGTTTTCATCCAGATCACTTGCTCATTGTTCCATTGTTACCATTCTCAGACCTTTTTGCTCATTTTTTTTAAATTTAATTCTTTCAGTTTATTTTTCTCACACACTATTTTTTCAAGATTTGCGTTCTCAACAATGTTTGTGTTCTCAATTCGATTGCCACCCCTTCAATTTGAGCTTAATTATCTTAGCACTTATCAGAGATATCGAATAATTGAAAACTCGTGAATTGTTTGTTATTTTTTGAGAAAAAAAAACATTTGAGCAGTTCACAAATGTTTGATACCTCTTACAAGAGGCAAGATAAATTGGTTCAAATTAGTTTACGGGGGTTCTTTTCTTTATGTACCAGAATTTCAATGTCATTGCGCCTTCAAATTGAATTCAATTTCTTGTTTCAGCTAAGATGTACTCCAGGACAGGCCCACCACGTCCTCTCAATCAGCAACAACAAGAGATTCAAGATAGAAAACAGGCAAAGTTGGAAGCAGAAAGAGCGAAAAAGGCAAAGGAATTAAAGGAACAAAAAGAACAGAAAGAGAACCAGAAGCGAGAATGGCCAGATGTCACTGTCGACTACAACCGAGAGCTGTGGATGTGAGTTATTTGAAATCCGCGTTTTATTTTTTTGAAGAACTAAAATATCTAGCTTACAAAACGTTGATTCTCTTGATTATAATCAGGTTGCAGGTGCTTTTGATGAAAAATTCTTATTCCAAATTGATTGTTTTTATATGTTTTTGCCTCAAAATTTTTGTTTTTGCTTTCTAAATTTTTTTGAACTTCAAAATCAAAATATTCAAAAAACATTTATTTTGTAATTTAGATTTTGAAAGCTCTACAAAATTATATACGATTTTATGGTTCACATTTGAAAACGTTTACCTACATTTTTCAAAAACCTCAAAAAATTATTCTTTAAACTTTCAATTTTTCAGGGACCAGTATAAAAAGAAGCACGAAACAATACTCGGCGAGTCCGTCGACATTTTCGTCGACAAATTTGAGAAGATGGAGAAATCTCAAGCTGAGGATCATCTTCTCAACATTCTCACAAAAATCACCTTTGTCGAAAATAATTTGACGGTGAATGGAGTCCAAACTGTTGAGAAGCTGTTTGAGAATTTGCAGAAAGCAGCGTCGAATGAATCGGGGGTGAGTTTTGATTCTTTCTTCGGACCGTCCAAATCATACCAATTCTGAAATTTTATAAATTTCGCATCAAATTAAAAAATTGTAAACATTTTCCAACCTTTTTCCCAAACTTTTTGATTCAAAATAACGAAACGGCCGCTTGTTAGCTTTGCACAGGCTTCAACTCTGTCACCCCCATATTTACTTTGAGCTTGAATTGTTCATTTCTTTTTATTTCTTGGGAAAAACATCAAAAATGTGTCAACTGATAATATTTTCCTCAAATTATGATAAGAATTTTATCAGTTCACAAATTCTTGATATCCTTCGCGGGAAACGAGATATATAAGCTCAAAGTTAAGTTTGTAGCATTTATGATGCGCACCACAGAATAGCAGTTGGTGGTCGGAGCTTTAGCAAATAAAAGTTGTTTTTCTCGAATTTCAATAACATCAGTGTTATCATAAATCTCAAAGAAAACAAAAACGAAATTTTTTAAAATTTCAGGACAACCCATTCAAATCGATCGAGGAACTGTCGGAGTTTCTGAAGGAAACTTATTTCAATTTCCGCAAAGAAGTCGACGAATACAGAAATATCGGAGTTCAAAGTCGTCGATGGATCCAGTTCATCAAGAATAAGTTGGATAAGGGAGACATTGTTGACGAGGACACGTTTCATGATTTGTAAGTGATTTTTTCATCTTATTCAAAATTTGCTGTTTACGGCTGCGCACGCAGTGGTAAAGCTCCCTTTGGCCCATATGAACCTTGGAATAATTTTTGAATCAATCATATATCCGTTCCTTACAAATCAAACTTCGTGAAACACATACTTTTTGATGGGGATTTCTTGTCCCCTCTTGAAATTATTCTAAAATAATCTTTTTAAAAACATTTTCAGATATGCTGAATTCCAAGGATCCATCCCCGCAGGTCACGAATTTGCGCGTTGTGAAGCTCCTCTCGACTACACATCCCTTCGGCAAATGGGCAATACAGTTCCAGTGTTCAAATATGGTAAGTCCCCGAAATTTCAGGTTATATAAATATTGGGCTAATTCTGAAAATTACAACTTAAAATATCCAAAATCTTTTGAGCCTTGAGCTGATCTCACTGATTTTGAGATGACAACATCAAAGTTTCATATGTTTTTGTAGAAAGTGAGAAGAACTACCTTTATTCAACTAAAAGTTTCAAAGAAAAGTACACGTAGTTGTTTCGGGGAGTCATAACTTTTTTCAAATTTAGTTTTTCTAGACGAATCTAATTTTAAATTTTAGATCTTTAAAAACTTTACGAAATGATATAAGCGGCGTTAGTTCATACTACATTTCGAATTAATGAAAGTAAACCATGAACCATGAATAGAAACTGCTGCTTTATTTGAATCCTAGCAATTCCAATATAATAAATATTTTCAATGGTGCTATTTTTGGATCAAATTAATTTTCAAGCGTAAATCTTTTCAAGCTTTGCAAAAGAATATAAAACTTGAGTCTTTGTCCGAATAATTGCAGTCCTAAAGTTATTTCTCAATGTCCAAAACAATCAAAACCCCTACTTTCAGGCGGCGATCCACGGAGTCATTGCTCCAATGAAGCATCTGAATGCGTTTGAAGTTCTCGGAGTTGAAGTTCTGCCACTGAGCTTGGAGAACAACTTGTGTACCGGATCGAACGGGAAGATAAAACACCCTGACAGGAGCGAGCTGAGAACCGCCGATTTTGGAACCGTCGAAGAAGTTCTTAATGCCAATTTGAAGAAATCAGTTAGCAGCACTGCTAAACTTCCAGGAAACAATTAGGATTCTAAGATTCTCATATTCTAAGATATCAACACTCAATTATTTGCCACCACCGTATCCCCAATCCACCCATTTTTGCTACTCCTCACTCATTTCTCGACGACTCTCTTTTCGCTGCTCATACTTTATCGGATTTTTTCAGAGATTTCCCTCAAAAATTCAAATTCCGAAGTTTTGTTGTTTTCTATCATTTGATTAATCTCTTCTGTAAAAAACGTCCCGAAAATTTCGTTAACTCAGAAAGAAAATGGTAAATTTGAATGTCTACTAAAATATTATACATAGGACATTTTCATTTTTTTTTGAATATTCCAGAAATTAGAAATACAGTCCAAGAATTCAACCTTGCATACTTTTTAAGGAAACGGACAGGTTCCAAGCATCAAAAAGAAACTTCAAGGCAATTTTAGATAAAAATTGCCGGTATGGCCTTTTCACTTTTTTGCACCGATAATTTTTATTCGAAACTCTGTTTTCAACTTTTTCCCCATTTTTG